GAGAGCCGAAGTGTAAAACAAGGAAGTAGAAACTGAGAAGTGGCCATGAAGGTACTGAATTGGTGCTGGAGGGAGACGATCAGGGTAAGAGCCTCCTTTGGAAAGGGGACCAGAAAGGGTCTTGGAGGAGGTAACTGTCCAGCAGGTCAAACCACTTAAGATGAAAAGGAATCAGACTTGAGGGAAGGCTGCAGAGACCTGCCAGGTTAGATTGTGAAGGATATTTTCAGACACATAGAAAGACTTCAGAATATATTCCAAGGTCCCTATGGGTGAAGAGGAAGCAGGGGCCCATTGAGCGAGAAGGGTATGATCAGACTTGCACTGGAGCAGAAAACCAGATGCATACCCACAGCCTGTGGGTTCACACAGCTCTCCCTCTGTTACACTGTGCGTCTTCTGCTTTGTTCAGGAGCCTCAGAAGCTGGGTCACTGGGATCTAAATGCTACAGTTGCTCAGAGTGTGGACTCCCACATTTCAAAATGAAGCAAGTAGGTCCAGTCTCTTTGGCTTTCAAACTGGAATTTAAATTTAATTGCTACAAGCTCCCGGATGTTCTTACTTCCCAGCCTGACTCCATAGAGTTCAACTGATATCAGAATTTCTTGCCATAACCTAGTCATAGAACCTATAATTTCTTTCAGAAATACATACACATATATATGCATGTATATTTCAAAAATTAAATCAATTATGCTTTTATTGGGGTGGAGGGCAGGCTGAAAAATGCAGAACTTTTCTATGCAACTTTGAAGCTCTTTATATAAATGAATAAATGAAATTATAAATAAATACATGGGCCACTAAACACCCAGTTGTCTTCCTGCTCATCACTACCAGACAGAGGGACAGCAGACACGCCACAGTGCTGTCCAGACATATGTGAGTCGGGTTCATCATTATGCTCCTCAGGCTAGGAAACTGCTCTGTGCACACATGGTTAGCCCTGCACCTCCATAACAATTCCTCCTCGCCAGTCAAAAGACCAGGATTAAACTGGTCTCCCACCTACTCAGATCTAAGGTGATCTTACACAGCCCAGGCAGGTACTAGCATCTGGGCAGCCCACTAAAAATGTAGAAAGAGTTTGAGAGTTTATAATTAAACCATTAACTATCAGACTTCACAGATTCAGACTATAGACTTTCCAGGTGAAAGGAGGTCGCAGGTAGCAGGTAAAAATAAGGGACACATTTTATTAGCTGGCTCTAGTTCCTGCAGCTGAGCTGAGCTGTGCTGTGCTTTGCTGGGGTTGAATTTATCTTACAGAATTTAACCATGGGGACATCACTCACATCTCTCCTGTTTTGTTTATGCTGGGTTCTCCACTGCCCTCTCTGAGAACATTTTTTCCTTCTTCTTTTTTTTGGCTCTGCTTTCTCTTCCTGCCCCCAATCTCTGTTCTCAGTGAGGACACTTAGCCTTCAGTTGCTTATCCTCTCTCTAGAGGTTAAAGAAAGATAATATTGATGGTTATCTGATATCTGGTGCTGTGTGCAGTCTAAAAATTCTGTGATATAAGCTCAATTATTATCCCTGTGTCATACCTAGAGATGTTGAGGTTTAAAGAGTTGAATGCATTGTCCAAAATCACATGATCATGGGGGGAAAAGGGGGTTGGAGCACACATCTGAACCCACTTAAGTTCCAAACCAAAGTCAAAACCCTACCATCATGCTTTTCTTTCCCCTGACACTCAATCCCAAATTCCCTGTTGCCCCCTGGACACCTCTATCAAGATGTCACCAAGAGCTACCAACTCAACACATTCAAGCCTGATTGGTCCACTACCTCTCTGTCCTCCGAGGCTGAACAATTTAGAATCCTCAGGATGCAGAATTGTGGCTCTTTCTTCTTTTAAACAGTTTTCACTTGCTGTTTTTTTCTGTCCCTTCTATGTTGCTCTAACTCATCCTGAACAATGGACAGTAGCCACAGCCATTCAGGTGGCACAGCGTCCTGATATGCCAACTGGCAGAAAGGAAATGGGTGTTTGAACAGAAAAGTCAGAATCTCAATCCTTTTTCTGTCTATTTCAAGCTAGGGGATGTTGGACGATTTTTCACACCTATAGCAGCCTTACAGCGAGGTAATGATGGTTAGAAATAATATATGTTAAATGTACATTGAGATGCAGACACATAAGAGAGTCCTACTAAGTAATAGAGGTATGCACTTGCCTCTGAGTGCCTTGCTTTCCCCCACATATAAAATGGGAACAGTGGCATATGCCTCATAGGTGGGTGGGAGATTAATGAGTCACCATTCATGGCCCATGAAGGAGCACTGGGACACAGTGAGTGCTGTGAAAGCATTGCTGTCACCACCACCCAGGGTCCCTGCCCTCTCCTCCCTCTGAAGGCACAGCACACTCACATTGCCTTCCTGCTTTATACATAATCAACGTACACATTTTTCTCCTCCATCTGGAAGTGAGCTGACTTGCATACTCACTGATTTCCCCCTCCAGTTTTTGGTCTGCTTGGCTACACACAGTAGGGCCTCAAAAATACCAACTGAATATCTCTGAAGGTCTGTGCTGTTCTTACAGGGATTCTTTAGATAGCCATTTTGTTTTCCAACACTTTTCTTTCTTTCTTTTATTTGGACTTTATTATGGACACACCTGGGCAGTCTCACAGGGTTATTTCGAACCTTGTAAAATGACTGGAGGGGGGAGATGAACAGCCTGTTCTGCTGGAGTTGAGCAGACTGGATGGCACAGCAGCCTCCACTGTGCTGTGTAGAAGCAAACGGCCACAGTGAGCTTTGTCAATAACGTGCTCAGACAGCAGCAAATGAGAAACGGCCAGGCTCCGAGGGCTTGCCTCTGGACCAGTGTCTCTAAAGCCGAGTCTCATGATATTGAACCCTGACCTCTCAACCCCTCAAGGTGGAGTTCGCCCACAGAAGTGCCCAGAATCCCTTCTGCTCTGCTTTAAGATAAATACTTAACATATTCCTTTCCGGATTTAAGGATGGGCCACCTATCATGATGAACAATTTTTTCCATCCAAATACAGTCCATCCCACATACAAACCCCCTTTTGTGAATCTCTGTACCATTTACTTGTTCCTAAGAAGCACTTTGTGCTGCACATCTGGCAATTTTGTTGCTTTATGTACTTTCTGTCATTTATATCATGAGTTAGTGAGATGCTGTGAAAATGACCATAGCTAAGTAAGAGGAAAGCTTGCTTTTGTGGTACCAATGGGTTTTCGAAATAGTATATGTTCACCAATACTCCACTTTATTTGAAAACATCAGTGGCACACTGTGGATTCATTTTAGCTGGCTATCTACCCTTAACTCACAGATTCACAGAAATAAAGGAGAATTATGGAGTTTGTCCAGCCCAGGGATGGCAAATAGATTCCGTATCCAGGAACATCTCTAAGTGATGGATAGGTGGCAGCTTCCAGAAGAACGGTATAGGGAAAGATTCTCAGGCCACGCCAGGGATAATGTGTAGTATTTGCCATGGTTGTTGTGACAGAATAGGACAATGCTCATGTCACTGGTTTGCCATCTCAGACTGTTTAACCCTCTAATCTGCAAATGAAGAAGTTACATGATTCTTTCCAAATCACAGACAGCACTGGCAGGTAAGCAATACTCACACTGCCAATTGTACTGTCTGCTTCCCAGCTATGGAATGTGTTACTCCTCCACCCATCCTCCACCACTCAAAATTAGCAAAAATCAGGGTATGGAGAATGTGGCAGATGGAAAAAGGCAGTGAGAATCACAGGCTTTGAAAAACTGGGTAAAAACCACGCCAGCAGGTAGGAGAAAAGGCTAGGTGTACCAAGCATATGGCACATCATTTTTATTGATATAAAAATGCTTCCACTCATTCTGGTTCCACTGCGCCTGCCACTGCTGCTCCTCTGGTGCCCTTCAGTCAGCTGAGTGGCGCTCCCACTGTGGGAACACACTGACCACCAGGGGGCAGCTCCTACATTGAGTGTCTTCTCCCTGGTGTTCGGTGTGTGTCATAGCGACTAGTCAAACGGTCGACTGGTTGAACAGTCAACCAGTCGTTTAGGGTTTTATATATATAATTTTTCCATTTTTCTAGGTGCCTTCCTTATCTATAATCAAGAAGCCAGAGTCTCTGAGCTCCTGGTGAAAGAAAAGTAGGTGAATCCATGGTAGCAATGGATGACATAATCAGGATGCCTCAAGGGAAGCTCCTGGCATTCCTAAAGTATGTGCAACATGTATGCAGGTGCAAGATTAGCATCCCAGTGAGTCTGGAAAAGAATGGGCACCAGTGCAGGCAAAGGAGCAGTGACCTAAGCATGGGTGCCTTGCTATACAACTCTAGTGGACCACTGCGGTTCTTGCCTGCCCAACATCCATTTTGCTTCCTTGGATAACAGGTTTCTAATTTATTGTAATAAGTAACCCCTTTTCACCCTCAGTCTATACATTTTAGGTGAGGCTGATTTTGCTCTGGGTTTAGTACCAATCATGTGACCCAGACTTAACCAACCAGAGAATCATGATCAAATGGGCACAGTGATTTTTACATGGATATATGCATGATCTTATGAGAATCAATAAGATTCAATTTCAAGCTTTTGTTGGAAGTATCAGGAAGAGATTGTCTCTCGGGTGACTTCAGACTAGGAGAAAGACATGGAGCTACCGAGACCTCCACATTGGGTAGCAGGGAGGGAAGTAACTATCTAAAAGTGAAGCCAATAGAAGGAAAATGGAACCACGAGATAAATAAGAACCAACACTGATGCTATCATTTGGGAACTGGTATATAGCCATGCCCAAAGGCAGAGCTATCTCAGAAATATCACAATTGCCTGAGCCCACAATCCCCATCCCCATAGTCTCCCACAAATTTTTGAGTTGGGTTTCTGTCATATGTAACAACAAAAGAGTTTTGGCCGATAATAAACCACATACTTATTTTCCACATAAGACATGTAGACCCCAAGTTCCTCCTCAGACCCAAGTTATCACAAACATCTAAGTTACCTGCATGGAGCCCTGGATGTCTTTACCCCCGACAATCACGAGTTCTGCCATGTCTTCCGCATGGGGAGTCCGCGCATGGACGAAAAGTGTCTTGCCCACCGCAGTTACGTTCCTCAGGGCGACTAAGCCACCTTCATCATTCACTTTGAAGTATGGGCTTGAGACCTCATAGTGAAGCTTGTAATTTCCCTTACAGTCACTGAAGTTCACTGGAGAAAACAAAACCAAACAAACCAAAACATAAGGAGTGTGAGTAGGTTGGGCAGCTTAGTCCTAAAGATAGTCCTAAAGTCCTAAAGATATCTCTGACCATTAAATGTGAATTATCATTCCCATCCCAGATCCGCAAATGCTGCCCCTTGTCCCACAGCTTCTCCTTTGTACCCCAAAGTAGATTCAACTTTGATCATGCTGAAGGTCTTCACTCCATCAAGACACATCCTTGCTAACCTCCCATGTCCAAGGCAGGTGCTAATCAGTGAAAACAAAGAGATAAACAGGACCACATCTCTGCCCTTGAATCTAGTGGGTGAAGTACACAATAATGTTTAGGAATGTGTGAGATGCTGTGGCAGAACCAGGTTGCTCAGGAGACTTGAGGCACAGCTCCATGGAGACAATATTTGAGCTGGGCCTTGAAGCTGTGTTGGAGATTAGAAGCCCCCAAGAAGTGGAGGGCATGATACATTATTCAAAGGCATGGGAATAGTGGTGGTGAAATAACAAAACAGACTCAGAAAGAGAACTAACTTGGTGTCTTTGAGGTATAATTGAAATTGGACAAAGATTTTGGGGATAATGAAGGAGAGATTGGAAAAGGAAGTTGAAAATGTTCCTTTGGAGATACATTGGGAAATGCCACTGAGTTAGGGTGCCTTAGACTATTCTTAGTGTTGACATGGTCATGGTCAAGTATATGTTCTGGTTCCAGTGTAGGACAGTGCTTCCCATGGGTTGGGATGCATTAGAATTCCACAGGAGCTTCTTAGAAATCCCAAAGACCAAATCTAAGGAAGCTAATTTAGTGGCTCCGGGTTCTGGAGAGTGGTTTGAAAAAAGTGAGGAGAGGCTAAGAAAACCAGTTAACTCGATGCTGTACCAATGATGCCTAGCCCAGATGTAGGCAGTGACTGGATGGCAGTGAGCGAGATCCCTGTAGTTGAATGCTAAGTCAAGTGTGTGAACAGGGAAGAGCAACCCTCCTAAGGAAACCACATGAGCACAGGGGCATTGCCAGGAGCAACAGCTGTAACAGCTGGTCACGTTCCCCTCTATGGTGTGCCTGTAGCTGGTACATGATTCTGATTGCAAAGGCATCACAATCCACTGTCTGCACGAGTTTGCCTGCCTGCCTTTCTCCGTAGGCTGCCAGGCCCTTGGGTGGAAGCATAGTATTGCATGTACTACTTGCAGTCCTCCCACCCACCCCTACTTTTGTTTTCTTAGCTCTTTGCTGAACTGATTTGTCTAAAAAATCTTTAATTGAATCACAGCATAGGTCTAGAAAAGTACATAAATCAGAAAATACATCTCAACGAATTTTCAGGAAGTGGGAACACACTTGGACCCAGCACCCAGACCTAGACACAGAATATTACCAGTTCTCCTCTTTCTCTCCCTTCGTGAGTAAAATCCCTGCACTCCTCTCCAGAGGCTGTGCTGTATTGACTTCTGAAGTCATAGTTTGACCTGTATTTGCAATCATACAAATGGAATGATGCAGATTGTGCTCTTTTGTTCTGGATTCTTTCACTCAGCATTACGTTTGTAACATTGAACTGTGTGGCTTCAAGGCAGAGCTGTTTATCCAAATCACGATAGAGTAATTTAGTATGTGGCTATGCTGAGTTTATTTATCTGTCCTCTTGCTGACAGGCACTGGGCTATATCCAGTTTAAGTCTCTTAAATATTGCTACTAGGAACTCTCCTGTGTCCAAGTACACTGTTAAAGCCATATAAATTTCTGATGAACTGAGCTGATTTTTCTTTCCTGGGAAAATAATTCTTATGGTGGCAATAATCATATTAGCTGATAATAATAACAGCTAACACAAATTGAACACTTCCTGCATGCCAGGCTCAGTGTTAAGCAGATTATCTTATTTAATCTTTACAACAATGAAAGAGGCACAATTTTGATTCTCCCCCCCCCCCCCCCCCCCAGATTGTAGATCAGGCAATTGGGGCTCGAAGAAGGCAAGGGGGGGAGGGGTGCCCAACACACAAAACCAAACCTGGTCCCTTTGCCCTCCACCACTCTACATTCTCGAAACTGACAAACCCCATGTAGAATAGATCCCTCTTGGAATCCCATGAGAACCTGAATATAATGACCTGAGTACCCTGTTTGGTTCTGCTCCCAAGTTCCCACCCAGCTCTGTTGCCTGTTGCATGGCGTTGCTTCTAGTTCCCTCTGCGTTGGGGCTCCAGAGCCTTTCCTGCCTACCATGTCAGCTTCATGGGCATCGTTTTGTGGACCCACAAGTGGACTTTTGGGAATCTGCAGTTCCCAACACTTGCTCACTTCCTCTGACCATCTTGTTTGTCATGGAGTAATGGGGCATGCCCGGTTTCAGTTTGTGGACTTGAATTTTGAAGCAGATGACCATTGCTTTCATGGTCATCAACAATTAAGCATTCATCCCCTGGAAGCACACTGCTCAAATGGCAGGGCCTGCTGGCAACTTGTTGTCTGAATTGCTAAGATGTTGACTCTGGACCTGGCCCCTGGGCAGGATCAGAGCAGGTGATCTCAGCTGGGGAGAGGTGGGAACAAGTGCAAGTATACAAAAGTCTGTGGGGATTCTAGTTTCACACCTAAATCTCTTACTTTTTCTTTTTTTTTTCTTTCCTTCCTTTCTCCATCCCTCACTTCCTTCCTTCTTATTTTCTTCCATTCCCTTCCTTTCATTATTCCTTTCCTCTTATATTTCTTCTACAAATATTTACTGAGAGCATATATTATACAAGTTGCTTGGATTATAAACATTAATCCAAAACCTTATAAGTGGTAAGAGACCTATTCCAGGCAGATCAAAACATAAGGTACCCTGTGGTAGTCGGGGAGCTGTAAATAAGCCAGTAAGATGGGCACAAAAAGCAAGAAAGAGGTTTCTATTTCAAAATCAGGACTGTTTTAAAATGCCGCGGGACAAATTGTTCAAAATCAGGACTGTCCCACCAAACGCGGGACATATGGTCACCTTACCCTAGTCTCCCTAGTTTTGGTTGAGCCCAGTAGGAGAGATGAGTAGGAAATGAAGGGCTTAATCTTGGTCTCCCTGTAGTTCCCCAGTCCATAGATAATCAATTCATGAAAGCACAGCCTCCCATGCTTAGCTTGGGCTTAGCTCATTGGTAAAGTCAGGGGTGGTGGCTTACCTTTCCTCTTGATTCTACTAAATCTTCACACAATCCCGAAGCATAGTCAAGATCAATGTGTGCATGTTGAATGAGGGAATTGTGGGGCGCAGCTACAGTGTATTGGACAGTCTCAAGTCTTGGACTGACGAGAGGGCACAGTCCTCTCCTGGCCCCGTGCAAGCCCCAGCTTGGAGGACAGAGCCCTCCCAGCACAATGATAGCCAACAGCTGTGGTTGTGAGCTTGAACCTACAGTCCGAATATGTGGCCCCCCGTGCCTGGGTAATGTAGGCTTGATTGAGTTCAGGTGAATGTAATTGAGTAGGATTGAAACCAATGAGAATATTGTAAACATCTTGACCATGCCCTTATTTGCCTCGGGGAAATCTGGCTATAAAATAAAGACATGGCTTGTGGGTGCTGGCAGCTTCTCAGAAGCAGCTTCCCACAGAGACCCAGCTTTCATTCTCTTGTCTGTCTTTTCTAAGACTTTCAGTCACCACCACTCAGGTTCACCCTTGGCCTTGTTGGTGCAGCACAATGAATGTTTGGAAAAATAAAGGTAACATCTACCATTTCTTGAATGGTGTCTGAGTATCAGTCTCTGTGCCAACAACTGTGAATTCAGGCTTTTCCTTTAGCCTCATAGCAATTTTGATCTGCAGCAGCATTTCCCACATTTAAAAATCATCTTCCTCCCCCCACCCTCTGTCATTTTAGATATTTTTGCCTAAATGTCATACTCTCATGAGATTTTACTGGCACAAATAACTGTTTACTTTAATGTCATTGTAATTGGTTTATTTACTGTATGTGTATCTGTACTTTGTTCACACACAAAACGTACCATTGGGCCTCTCTCCAAGAACCCATGTCACCCCTTTGGGGGCAATACAGCTGCACTAGAAAGTACAGTCTATAAGCATTGTTCCCATTTTACCAGAGGAGGGACCAGGCCTTGGGAAGATGGACTAACTTGCTCAAGGTCACATCCTGAAAAGGCAAGAACCTGTCCCGGGTCTGACCTGTCTGCAGTTCAAGTTCACATCCACATCCTAGGAATGGATACTTACTTGAGAGGGAAAGGGGCAGGTGTCCCATCCCGACCCCTCCAGGACTCTCACTAATCCCTCAGGAATCATCAAAGTTACCAGGTGAGGACATAATAAGATACCAAATCTACATCTAGGACCTGGCACATAGGGCTGCTTAGTACATCCTAGCTTCTTTCCAACTGGCTATATCAAGTAGCTAAGGGTTGCATAATTGGGTATTTTTATGTTAGGCATATTTTCCCAATTCAAGAGTAGGTGCATTAGACTGTGGCTCTTTTTCAAGGCTATGATAATCACCAGGAGAGAATTTAAAAAAAATATATAAATACCTGCCCCAACTTGCAACCAAGATTCTGATATACTTGGGCTGGGCTGGGGTATTGGCACTGGTATCTGTTTAAAGCTCCCCAGGTGAATCTAATGCAACCAGGACCAAGAACCAGGACCCTGGACAATGAATGGCTTGTCAAGATGCCAGGTGTCCACATTTTCCAGGCACAGAGAGGAGACTGGAGAACTAGCATGCCAGGAAATGCTATCCTCATGCTCTTAGAAAAGCATTTTTAATGGTAGGGTCTTCTAAGCCCTTTCCAATCCTGGTTATATGTAGCAGCAACCCTGTGACCTTGGGCAAAGCACTCATCCTCTTTCTACCTCAACGTCTTCTTCTGTAAAGTGGGACAAATACTAGTACTTCCCTCACAGGTGCTAAAATTCTTATGATGAGCATTCAACATCATAATATGTACCTACATAAATAGAATATTTAAGACGTTGGTGCTCCATGCATT